GTGAAGCACGGTGGTGGCAGCTAATTACTGTGGGCGTGTTTTTTCTTACTAAGAGCTGGAGAACTTGTCAAAGTTAAAGGAAAGATGGAACAATTCAGTGTTTTTGCTCATTTAAAATGAAGTTTTAATGAATAAAAAAGGTCAAAACCAAATCGTTTCATGTTGTTCTGATACATAAAACCCTAAAGATGAAAGAGAAAAAGGTTGACTTTATTTTTCCATTTCTGTTCACGTCTGAGTTCAAATCTGACATTTACAATCTTTAGACACAAAAATCCTTCCTGCTCATGTTTCATTCCTCCATCTTTATTACACCAGACACACACAGACAAGATCCATCTCTTAAATATTAAATATCAGAGTATTTCCACATAATCCAAAGAAACGGCATCAAATTCAAACACTTGCTAAATTTAATCAAATTTATTCTGTTTTATTTAGAAAACTTTTATCTAAAATGTATTTACCCAAAGTAACCACTAGATGTCAACATTTCTTTATTTCTAATGACAGAGTGAACATTTCTACATTCAACAATGGTTCAGTTCTGTTCACTGGGTCTGCAGCAAGAAGAACAGAAATTATTTAATATATCTGCACAGTTTTTCTGTTAGCAGGAAACAATCAGCACACGTTGTTTCAGCCAATAACCTGAAGGATGAAAATAATAAATTAGTGAACTTTAAGAAGCTGAATGTTTATGTTCAGAAGAGTGAGCCTTCCTGTGTTCGGTCCAGAACCTCATGTTGACCCAGAACTGAAGAAGATCCTAATAAGGTGACATGTTGGTACAAAAAATAAAACCCAAACAGTTTCTCTGCTATTAAACACTTTACAAAGTCCTTCAGACAGAACATTACAAAACTAGAAAAATGCTTCTTTACTGGTAAAGGTTTCTGATCCAAACTGGAAATGATGGAGTAAAACCAGTTCATCAGCTCATCATCAGGGACAAGCTCTCTGTCTTCACAATCAGCTGATACTTTCTGGGTTTTACACAAATCTCTGCTCAGAGTGTGTGTTTTACACAACTCTCAGATACTACCACACCAAATCTTAGCTCAGTATGTGTAACTAAGTTAAAGCCACTGTTGTGTTAGATTATATTTCTTTACTGTGATGTTCCTACTGAATGAGGCTGGATAAACAAAATAAGCACACAGATAACAGACACACAAAAACATCAACTTAATACAACAAATCTGCTAAAATCTGAGAAAATAAGAAGCTAAATCAGATGTGATGGATCTGATTTGTAAATGTTGGGGTTTCTTTTCAGTAAAGCTTCTGGAAGCAACATTTAGTTTGTGGTTGGATGAAAAACTTCCCATGATGCAATGTGTTTTCAGGCAGCTCCTCTGCAGTTTTACACCCACACACCTGAGCAGCTCGTCCCCTCACAGAGCTGCTGACAGGGTGGGAGGTTTTTATCATCCCTTCCTGATGAAACAAAACCAGGTTGTAACTAAAACAACAAACCTGAAAACAACTAAATCTGTGGAGCTTTGATCATCTGGGAGATTTGAACATCACATGGAGGAAAGCACAGCTTTCTTCAAGAAGAAAATATTTTTGTCTTGTCTACAATCGGATTTTGTCTGTGTGTTTACTTGTTTAATTGTTAGCAAAATATCTCATGAACAATTGATGTTATTTTTATAACATTTACAAAAGTAATGATTGGCTGTACATCCACAGCTGATTAAATGTTAACTGGTGTTAGCAAACACCAGACAGCTGTGTTATATGGAGTTAACAGGTGGGGTGGTAGTAGCAGAGAGTCATGCAGAACAGCCTCTTGAGTTCTAAAAGATCCAGTGTTTGTCTGAAAGTTCAACACACAAGGCAGCAGGTGTCTTCACTCAGATCCTTTAACAGCTAACTGGGACGGTTTAAAGGCAGACGTGGAAAACAACAGAACGGTTTCACTCTCCTGATCCTGACCTGACCTTCAGTCTTCAACTTGACTGACAGGTTCTCTTCTTTAGTTCAATCAAAGAAAACAGACGACAGATTTTACCTCCAACAAGTTCAGTCCTRAACATCTAGTTGAAAACTTGTCATGAAGAAGATGATTAATTTAAACATGATGCATTTAACTGTTTCTGTCCCACATTAAAACAACCTGCAGACAGCCTGGATGTTCTGACCCAAACTCACAGCAAGTGACAAATATCAAAAAACATGTTGATCAGAACTACTCTCCAGGATTTCTAAAACATGAAGATGCTGGACCGGATCAAAAGTTTTAATGAGGACTTTTCTGGACCGGATCAAGAGTTTTAATGAGGACTTTTCTGGACCGGATCAAGAGTTTTAATGAGGACTTTTCTGGACCGGATCAAGAGTTTTAATGAGGACTTTTCTGGACC